ATTGAAAAAATTAAAAGTGTTATCGAAAATTATAATTTCATAATATTTTACTGCTTCGTAAACAAAGTGCAAACGTCTTCTCATCTGGCACTACGAGTATAATACAGGCATTATACGCGAAATGTGACGCAGATTTGAAACATTAGAAAACGATTGTTCTGCTAGTGAGGGCACGGTCCGGTGGCCGCGACCGCATGCCTGACGAGCCTGTCGACCTTCGTGAGGGCGCATGCCACTTACCTACAAGATATAGGAAATGAGGACTGCTTAAAATTCAACTGACTGAGAGCTAATTATGTCAGAATTAGTAAGAAAGCTGAGAGAGGACGCGCTAGTCCATTGATCAGTTTGGCTCAAGGCCAATAAACAGTAAAGAACTAAGTCTACCACATATTATTGGGAACATTTATAACTAATAGAAATAATCTTACTCTCCCTCCGGTTACGAAAAGTGCATTCGAAGCAAGAGCGAATATGCTCTAGTGCGTTTAGTACAAATCACCATTTTGATCATTCCAGGTGGAATTTTAGCTTAGCTAAGTTTAAATCTGTTATACTTGCACAGATATTTCAAAGTGTTACAAATATTATAGAGTTGTGTGGTAGGGCCGCGCAGCAGCCTCGGCTGTTGCACTAATGGGCAGGCTCGTCCAGGTAAGTACCACGACCTCACAGAAGACCGGCGTAAAGTGGAAGTATAATACTTTCGCGTTTCGTCTGGTGAGTGCGGTAGCCGGAGCCGAATTTTCAAAAGGTTGTTAACGCATCTGCAGCCTTCGGGTGTAGCAGATGTCCATGGGAGGCGGTATTCACTTAACATAAGGTGAACCGCCTGCTCGTTTGGCAACTTTTCACATGAAAAAAAGATAGAAATCTATAAAAGACCGTGTAAAGTCACACACGGTAATATACACACCACGTTTGCTACTAAGATAGCTAACTGCTCTTTAACTGCTGAAAACCTTTTTCCTCGTCGATTCTTAGCGAGCCTTACGGCCGGCCCCTTACCACATTTTCACTTTTGTAATGCTATAATCAGTACTAACGTTGTCCATGCATAAAACACATTTTACGCGAATATAACACATTTTAATAAAAGTAGTTTACGTAGTTCATTGCAGTCTGTTTTTACTTAAACGTGTGACGGTTTATGAACCGGCTTCAAAAGGAGGTGGTTCTCATTTCGATTCGGGATTCGGAGATACTTTGGGAACTCCTGAAAAACAATTATAAAATGTATACAGAGCGAGATATAAGGCATCATAAATAAGGGCTTTGCCTCTTTCCCAAGGGATCAAAGTTAAACCGTCGGATCTCTTACCATCGTCACGCCACAGGGCCCTAAAATAGATGGAACATCCATGGAAACAAGAGCCCTACGGATGATGTCGTTCAGGGAACCATGACGATTTTAAATTCCCTGAACTAATACGAAATTTAGCCCGACCGTGGAGCGAGCGAAATGTCACGAATACGGTGCCCGCGTGATCTCCGCATCATGTCAGCGGTTCGTCATCTAAGCGGGTACATCACAATGAGCCAGTGGCGCAATAAATCAGCTCGCGCCATATGGCCGGTGGCCTTTATGGCGCGCTCTGGACATTCGGCCACGGCACCAGTCCTGCCTTAAACAGAGGCGTCTCGCGCACGCAATCGTGCGCCTATTTAGCAGTAACAAGAAGTGTTGCAAAAAAATACACGGATTTATATAACGGCCGCACCCGAAGGTCTGGCCGAAGATAGATCTGATTAAGGTAAACGATTAACGCGTGCAATTGGAAAGCTGTTTAATGAGTTAACCATTTTGCCCTGTGGGTAGGATCTTGTCTAGTTTATGTGTGAATTTATGAATGCAACGGCAGACAAGCAGCTATATGGATGTTGTTATTTTTTTATAGATTTTTCTTTTCTCTCAAGTTGTTTGTTATGGACTTAGGAAAAATAAAGTTAAATGATTTACGACAGGAAGCTAGATGCGATTTCGCCAACATTACAAGATTAATTTAAGTGATTACAGACAGTACTTAATACCGATAAAAATGATATGAGTACTATTAACAAAACTTTATTTTTCCCCACCTCTTTAAGATGTGAAGGACTATATCTTCTATATATTAATACGAGAAACTGTACCGCTATTTACGAAAATTACGCGGACCGAAGAGCATGAAATTTCCCTTTTTTTTTTAATTATGCATAAAAAATACATTAAATCGATAAACAAACATTAGACACACTACCATGTATAATAGTTATGGTCGAATTTCGTCCACTGGGCGACGACTAGTACGATACTAATACGTGAAAAATTCATACATAGCACAACATTCGTCTTATTTAAGTAGTGTAAGTACTCACGCTTAGTGTCATGTCCAATATCGCTAAGAATTTATCCAACGCTGGATTTTATGCTGTTTTTCAATAAACATAGATCTTTTAGCGCCGCGATATGTCGAACGTTTAAGGGTAATGGGAACGCATCTGTCAAAATCAATAGTCATTGCAGATGTTGCGTCCGATCGGGGAGCCTTGACTGGTTTGTCGACGAAATATTATGCTAGTAATTGTCGATTTTATCCATCGATTTTTACTTGCATTTTATGCAATACAGTTTGCAAGTAGTTTTTGTATGTCACGCTTGTACATTTTTAAACAAAAACTTAGCACTTAATTTTTTTAGGTGTACCTTAAAGTTAGGGGTCGATGGTGGAAACGGGGATTTTTTTGTAGATAAGCATTCGCGTAGCCCGCTCACACGCCATAACCACGATATCAACACTTCGCGATAATTCGGGTCGTAGGTCTACTCTCTTTCATTGCATTTTTTTGATGCTATTCGCTGCAACCAGGAAATCAACACTTCGCGATAATCTCGATCGTCTAATTACTCTCTTTAACTGCACGCCTTTAGGTGAACTAAACCACGATTATCACAATTTTTTTTAGGTCTCGTTACGGGTCGATCTACTCTCTTCATTGCATTTTTCACACGCCATAACCACGATATCAACACTTCGCGATAATCTCGACGTCTATCTACTCTCTTCATTGCATTTTTCACACGCATAAACCACGATATCAACACTTCCTGATAACCTCGACGTCTATCTACTCTCTTCATTGCATTTTTCACACGCTAAAACCACGATATCAACACTTCGCGATAATCTCGACGTCTATCTACTCTCTTCATTGCATTTTTCACACGCTAAAACCACGATATCAACACTTCGCGATAATCTCGACGTCTATCTACTCTCTTCATTGCATTTTTCACACGCTAAAACCACGATATCAACACTTCGCGATAATCTCGACGTCTATCTACTCTCTTCATTGCATTTTTATAAATGCTTGGCGCCATGTTACGTTCATACTGTACTACGTGGCGTTTGAAAAATGCCATATTATATAAGTGTATGTGACAGATGATATAGAAAGTATGATACGGAAAGATATAGCTGTGTATAGAATTACACCGATTGGTGTAATTTGTGTGCCTCCGTTTCATTGCGCTAGTGTCATATCTATTGTATATAATCGCATAATATTTTTTATGTAATTAGGCAATTTCACTCACAGTTAAAGTGCACTGGTAATGTAGGAAAAGTGTACATTTCTTTGATTAAATTAACAGTTATTAATATATAACAGAATTTGTGATACTTCAGCTAAAGGTTACGGGAACACAACACAGTTAAGGGAATTACCAAAATCTAAAATCTTTCTTGTGTAAATTGATAAAAATTGTTTAATTTTAGTAATTGCCAAAACGATAAAATGAAAGTATTCGGTATATCATCATCATCATTTCAGCTTGTTTGAGTCCACTGCTGAACATAGGCCTCCCCCATAGACTGCCACGAAGTACGGTCCTGAGCCACCTGCATCCATCGACTTCCCGCACATTTGCACAGGTCGTCACTCCATCTAGTGGGGGGTCGTCAGTATATATTTAAGAACAATATTTCTTACCCTGCTATGATAACCTTGGGTTAGAAAAATGCAAAGTAGAATAATTATATTGTAGTAAAAAAAAGCTAATTATGTACAAATACAAATTCATTTTACATTATGTGGTATTGCCACGCAACACTGTCTTTGCTGTTGCACGAATGGGCAGGTCCATCCGGGGACGACTAACAAAAGATCCGCGTGAAGTGGAAGGTTTATACTTCTGCGTTTCGTCTGGAGAATGTGGTAGCTGGGGCCAAATTTATTACAAGGTGGCAACGGATCTGCAGCCCTATGGGTGTTGCAAATGTCCTTGGGCGTCGATTGTCACCAACCATCAGGTACCTTACCAGGTGAGCCGCCAGCTCGCTTGCCACCTTCCCACATTAAAAACAATATTCTTGTATTCTTCTTGGAAAACATCAAAATATTTAAAGTAGTGACACTTTTACCCGACTGCGCCAGAAAGAGGGTTATGTGTTTCGATGTATGTATGTACAATTGTTTGGCACGCTCTGCAGGCTGAACAGATCGATGGATTTTAGCTTGAAAGGTGTCGTTAAATGCAGGTGTATTTACTGTGAGAGTGACAATGGGTATATCAAAATAATAAGTACACAGAAACGCAGTCGGGTTTTTCAGTTTTTTAAATTATATTCTACTTGTTGATATCATAATTGTCAAAAGATACATCATAGTTAAATTTATTAAAATATTTATATCTTTTATAATATTACATTTATATCCAACAAGACATAGAATTCATTTTCGCCAGAAAATTTAGCGCATTGCAATAAATTTTAAAAATGTAAATGGATATAGGAAAATAGTAACCCACAAACCGGTCAGAACTTTGCCAAATGAAGCATTACTCAATAAGACATCTGACGCAACGAGGGACTACTTAGTATATATACTAAATACTTAAATTTTCCTTGGTAAAAGTAATAAAACGATAGAAGAGTTTAATCTGACTTTTATTAGACATAAACTTGTCAAATTAGACACGATTGACGCTAGCACCTACTATCTTTGTGACATTATCAATGCGGCTGATTCAATACGTATCGTTCAACGAATTCCTCGTTCACCTCCAGCTGCCTCTCCATATAGACCCTGGAGAGCCGGCAGTAGTCCAGAACGGGCTCCGTGCGGTCTACTTCGCAGTATTTGAAATAAGTAGCGGGGTCGTCGAAGGTCTTCTGCGCGCTCGCCGGGTCCATCAGCACGAACGGGAATATGCCAATAGCTTCGAAGGCGGCAAACATTCTGCTTCTCTCGCACCAAACTAAAAACGCCTCACGACTATAATTAAACTCTTTCAATCTCCCTTTGGTGGCGTCGTCCAATGACTCCGTGAAGACGTCGTAGTAGTGCCGAATGATAGTTCTTTCGTGCCGCTCCCTGAATCGCCTGACAGTCGTTAGGTACAGGAATATCATCAGGTCGAAGGCTGGCGGACCGTAGCGCAGACACTGGAAGTCTATAAGCAAAGCGTTCGTCGGCTCGTCACCGCTGTGCTTAAACATTATGTTGTTTATCCACAGGTCCTTGTGAATAATCACATTGAGTGTGTCCTCATGCTCTTTCAGTTCGGCGCACGCTTCGAGATACCGTTCCACCAAAAGGCGCTCCAGGTCTGCTGGGTATTGGGCAAACTTTTTGGAGAACGCTTGCAGGAAGTTGACGGAGAGCTTGGCAGCCGCCCTCAGCCATGGCGACTCACAGAAAGTGGGCTCTACAGCCACGTCGACGCACTCCTGAAGGAAATTATAAGCACGCTTATCTTCGATGCCCCTCCGAGTCGCGTAGTTGGCGAAGGACGCGTGGAAACGCGCGATGGACGCGGCCGTTACAAGACTGTGTTTGAGGTCGAGCGTCTCATGGCTCCTGAATGTCTTGTATCCCTCGGGCGCCAGGTCCGGCATAACCAAAGCGCCCTCGTTGCATAGGTATACTCGCGAGCACCAGGGATTTGGCCCTTAAATAAAATCTAAATTAAACTTTTAGGCGTGGTAAAATTAATAAAATCTAAATTAAACTTAAAACGGTGGTAGGGCCTCGCAACAGCCTCGGCTGTTGCACGAATGGGCAGGCCCGTCCGGGTAAGTACCATGACCTCACAGAAGACCAGCGTAAAGTGGAAGTATGACAAATACTTTCGCGTTTCGTCTGGTGAGTGAGGTAGCCGGAGCCCAATTTTTAAAAGATTGTCAACGCATCTGTAACCCTCGGGTGTAGCAGATGTCCATGGGCGGCGGTATTCACTTACCATCAGGTGAACCGTCTGCTCGTTTGGCAACTTTTCACATAAAAAAAAAAAAAAAGGCAGTTTTCGTTTCCATACTTGATGAATATGTTACATGTCGCATTAGAATTGTATAATTCCATACGACTAGGCTACCCGCTTTAAAAAAACAGTTAAGTTTTTACATTAAAATAAGTAATTTGTTTCAAATATAATGAAAGCAAAATCGAAAACCTATATAACTGAAACCGATAATTGTCTGTAAAGTCTGTGAGCCGAAATTCTACAGAAATTCGAAATTCTAAACAGAGCGATCTTATCGTTTCAAATGCTATTATTTTTCCCAATTCAACAGTTTAAAGAACTCGGTAATGTCTATTTGATGATCTCCATAAGGTAACGTACCCTCGGCGCCGCGCATTTCCTCCGACAGCCTCAACGCCACCATCTCCCTCCGAAAGTAGCCGTGTTTATTAATGAAATCCGCCTTAGGCCGATTGAGCGCCGGCACCGTCTTCACGAACAGTCTCAACTTCTTCACCGAGCCGTCGACCTTCACGTGTATCGTCACCCTAAAGTGGTCGCCTAGGAAGCCGGCCAAGCCTGTCACCGCTGGCCGCTTGTCGCAGGCGACGATCTGAGCAGCGGTCGCACCGAGAGATCGCTCAACAATCGTTCGCATCTGCTTTTCAGTGAGAATGTCCTCGACGCTTGGGCACGTCACGTACGCCATTTAGTCTGTCTTTCAAGGTAGGAACGGCCGAATATGCAATTGCAATTACTGATTAGTTTTACTTATATACTATTCCAACTATAATTGGAACAATTGTTTGATTTGAGAGAACGACGATGCGTTCTGAATTATCATCCGTATTCCCTGAGCGTAAGGCTTCGTAAGCAATCATCTATCTAGTCTGTTTGCTGGAGGATTTCAGTCGAATCTATTTGTCTGCCGATTTTCATTGTTCTGTCGTTTGACGATTAAATCGACTGTAAATTACGGTTGATAACAAGTTTTTTCCACTGCACAGACTGCACAGACAGCTGCTGCCCGCGGCTTTGTCCGGATGAAATTTGAAAAAGAAAAAATCGACAACTTCAAGATGTTCTGCTGAAACTTTCTGCACTGCAGGATTAGAACTTGGGTCGTCCGGGTAACGCGCCCACAGGCTTTACCAACTAAGCTAAACGACCGATAACCGCGACATCCATCTACTTTGTTGTATTTGAGATTTCCTCCCCATTTGGTCGTCCATACTGTATTTTTCCGACATAAAAAGACAAACTAGCAACCTTTTGCCCGTTTATGATATTGGAAATTTTTTGTATATAAGTTATCCAAAAATGAAGTAAGGTCAATATGAACTCAAAAATACTTTGAATCGCTTCTAAACACGAAATAATTGTATAATATGTATTTACAATATACAATCTATTTTCAATAACTAAAATAGGAATGCGTACTGTTGGCGGCTTAAAAATATTTTTAACTATGAAGACAAGACAGCAAAAAAAAGCACTTCTCCGATGGTGGTGGTCACCCTCGCTCTTGACCATTCGGTTAAAGTTACGGTGCTCACGTTTTACAGGATGGGACCCAGCTATCCACACTCGCCATACGAAAAGCGAAAGTATACTTCCACTTCTCCGGGCTACTGTGCAGCCATTTTACTTCGCCTGATGGGCTAATTCAGCAAAAGCCCTAACAAGGTAAGAGCTAACTCAGTAAAAACTCACGGTACCATAAATACATACATGTTATCAAAGGTAAAATTGTCCTCTTAGTTTGAGGAAATCTGCATAGTTTCGTAATAACGAAAAATAAATATTTCGAACACATGTGAAGTCAGCTAAATGGCAGGCCGCGTGGTGGACTATGCCCTGACACTCTCTGTACAGAGGAGGCCTTTGACCAGCAGTGGGACATGTGCAGGCTTTCACTTCTCGAAGGTAAGATTATGTCTTTCACTTGGCTCATATTTGGGGTAAATTTAGAAATAAAACCATGACATGTTTAAATACATCCATATATTTAATATCCTAAAACAACAATGTTCATATAATATAACATAACCTTAACAATATAAATTACTCATTTGCCTCGACGCCGGAAGACATGTGACAAGAACAGATCAAGTGTCAAAAGAATGCTTCTCATAAAATATATTCAAATCCAAATATCAAAACGCTCATACGAAAATAATCATAATATTTTGTCTCTTGGTTTTAACACTCCTGATATGCATCTGGGTATAAGAAAATAATTTCTGTAAATCTAAAAAAAAATAGTATTTTTGGCCTCTTCCATTCTTCAATTGCTATAACGAGTGAAAGTTGAACAACATGGGAAGACTTGATTACGCTTATCGTATTACTTACAGAATACACCTTAATCACTAATTGATTTAATAATACAATAGATTTTAAATATTCAATAATACAAGGCACTCAATGGCAAGATTAAACTATAAAGTTAAATATTCATTTTGAAATAACATTGAATTTAATATTGCAAACATTGTAAAGATCGACAAAAAATCATTTTACAATATCTGTAAATTAGTGTAAAACTTTCAACAGCGTAAATATTTGATCCACTGCGATAATTAATTTTAAAATTTGCTTTCTTCATCTAGGTGGCATCGTCGAAAACAAATCAACCTTCCATGAACAGTTGAAAGTGGTATCTTTTTTAGATAGGAATTATTTCATACTGGGACATCTGGAAAATTTGTGTTTATTATTGACACACAGGGTCAGTCTTCAAGTTGCGGGAATGTATCCATTCACATGGTATTAGACGTAGACAAACGTCCAGTGGTGGGTGACAAAAACTTGGTGGTTTCATGATGATGCTAAAATAAGGGGTATTTGATGGGGGCCGTACCCATACCTCCCGTGGGAACTGCCACACCTGGGGGAATGCCACTCGGTTGACATTGGGACAGGAGCAGATAATCCCCCATGGTGGACGTTTCTTGGGAGTATGACGGGATGCAACGGAGATGTTAATGTGCGGTGATCTGACAGGTATGCTCTAGGCAGTATGCGTGATATTTACGAAGTTTCTCGCGGATGTTTGTCAGTGTGCCTTTTAAAGCTCAAAGAACCAATGAGGGCTAAATCCATAGGCTGTCATGTGGTCATAACTATCGATGCCTGACCAGCCGCTGACATTTCAAGGCATGCAAGTCACAGCTCGTTGCTCACTGCTCCATGGCACGAAGCAGTGGACTGTTGAACCATATGTTGCCAATTTGGACGTAGACTGAAGAGTGTCCATGACTGAAGGTAAATTATTCAAATGAATATTCGCTAGCCACATCCGACTTTGATCCAATTGACAGTTGATAAATAATTCTGATATCAGTCACTTATTTCGCTGTCATGTATATACTGCTATAGTAATGATTGTTTGTTAGTAATATTAATTATTGACAATTGCATATAACTTGGTTGAAGCAAGAAACTAAATTAATAACATATTGATTGAGTTATAATTACACTTTTGTTAGCGATAGCTTGTTTTTTTTTTTCAGTTCTTAAAAAATAATACCCGCTGTAAACACTCAGACTATCAATTGCTTACTAGTCTAAGTATGGCTTCATTATAAACTTTTTCGTCATTCTTTACATTTTTGTTTTAAATTATTAACTTATCATGCAAATATTGTTCTTAAGAGTAATTTAATATAATAAAATATGATATAAATAATTCTTTAGTTACAGTTCTTTCATTAGAGTCTTATTTGAAATCAATATGTGCCCATTTGATGAGCAACTAAGTGAGAATTTGGAATGTAAATGACTTAAAAACAAAGACATGTCTAAACACATGATTACGATAGATATTAGTATTATCCATTACAGAAAATATGATTGAACAACCAGATAATCCTCTTCTAAATCTTTAGCGGGGCCGTATGTGGGTTGCAGGTGTTGTCCTCCTAATGGGCGGGGCGGGGGCGCGGGGGCGGCGGGGGGCGGCAGTCGCGCAGCAGCCGCGCCAGGCGGCGCACGGCCGCGTGCAGCGCCGCGTCGGGCGCGTCGGGCGCGTCGGGCTCGCCGCCCGCGGCGTAGTGGTGGGGCGCGGCGGGCGGCGGCGGTACGCGCCACGCCACCACGTGCTCGCGGCCCGTGGTGCGCGACGCGGCCACCGTGAACAGCCGCCGCCGCTCCCACGCGGCGCGCAGCAGCGACAGCACCTGCGTTTGCATTTCTACAACTGACTTCACGCTTCTAGTACTTACACTATTGAGGCTTCCATCGAACGCAGAACCGGTGGGCTAGCCTACTTACAGTGCTTAGTATGTGAGAAGGTGGCGGCCGAATTGGCGGTTCACCTGATGTAGAGCGATAACCGCCCCTCATGGACATTTGCAACAACCTTTCGATAATATAAATGGGCCCTGGATACCCCAACTCCCCAGAGGAAACTAAAAAGTAAAATAACACTTCCACTTCACACTAGTCCTCTGTGAGATCGTGGTACACACCCGGACTGACCTTCTGCATTTTCTGTTTTACTAATTCATGCAACAGCAAACTGTTACATGGCCCTACCGGTTACTATGCTGCTTGTTTAATTTCCAAAAATTAAACGCGGTTTAGTTCCCGATTTAATTTTCCAATACAAGTTAAACAAGACGCAGTGTATATGGATCGATGAAGTGTATTATTTCATAACTGTATAAAACTGTGAACCTTACGGTTACTTTAATTTTACGATGTTATTAACAATTGGTAAAGCTCGCTGTCGGCAAAGTAGTAACGATTATCCTTCCAGGTAAGACTTAGGAGTCGCATCGAGGTGGCTTTAGAGGAATGTAAGTTTAGTTAGTAGCCCGGAGGCAAGATCAGGAAGCACCTGTCGCCCCAGCGCGGTGTCCGGCAGCAGCGAGTGGCGCGGGAAGCCGACCGCATAGTAGGGCGCGCCCGGCGACGGGTGGCGCGCGCCCTGCCGCCCCGACTGGAACCTGCGCACAGACGACACGTATCACTGCTGAGCAAACGCCTCCTCTGTACAGAGCATTAGCTCGTAAAACCGCCTGTCATGCCTCTTAATAACAGGGATAGACGGTGATACTGTTGGTGACTTTAAAAACTAACATTATATAATGTAGTTCTTTGTGTACAATGTTTAAAAAAAAGTTTTTATATTTTGTTCTGACATGACGTCTGGTGAGTGAGGTAGCCGGGGTCCACTTTATCAAAAAGGTGGCAACGCATCTGCAACCCTACGGGTGTCGAAAATGACCACGGGCGGCGGTTATCACTTATCAGATCGCTTGCCACCTTCTCACACAAAAAAGACGAGTTGACTTGAAACGGACCGGTACGTGACGAGTATGGAGGCGGCGTGTGGGTGGGTGGGCAGCGCGGCCTGCTGCAGCCGCCACGCCATGCTGCCGCGCGGCTGCTCGCCCTCCGCCCCCGCCGGCCCCCCCTCCGGCCCCTGCCCGCCCCCCGCACCGCACCACCCGCACCCGCACCCGCACCCCTCCAAGCCGATGCCAGCGTACGCCAACTCCTGCAACAGTTACACACATTACAACTAAAGCCTTTCACATATTCCTCATCCGATGTATCAATTTTCAATTATCATCATTTTGAAAGAGTAATAAACAAAAAACACCTTCAAATCAAGTAGATTACCGATAATCATCATCATCAACATTTCAGCCTGTTTGAGTCCATGAGAGAGAACAATTTATGGGGTCGTCCTACACTACGATGGCCATTTGTTAACCTTTCTTCCCCAACGGTTATAGGTCCTATGAGCTATATGGCCAGCCCATCGCAACTTAAGCTTACTGATCCTCAAAGTACTACAGTAGTTTACTTCACTTAAATACATACAAAAATCGAAAGTAGTACATAAACTTACTGCAATCCAATTCTGCATACCGAGTATCAATCAGTAAATAAGCTCATACCAATTGTGCAAAAATATTTCACATCACCAGAATAAATATGAACCAAGTAGTTGGTTTGTAATAAAACAGGCAGTGATTGTTAAACGCCGAGCGGTACCTCCTGGCAGAGGGCGTCGAGGGGCCACGCCCAGGCGCCCTGTCCGCCCTGGCCGCCCTGGCCGCCCTGTCCGCCCTGGCCGCCCTGGCCGCCCTGTCCGCCCTGGCCGCCCTGGCCGCACTCCTCGCACTCGCTGCACCCCTCGCACTCGCTGGGCTCCGCCTCCTCTGAAAGTGCCATTCCCATTGCATTCATTATCCGGCTCAAAGGACCAACACCGTTCTGTATGCAATGTATTGCATTGCACCACGAGAGTTGTTTAACGTTATATATTCAACTGTATTCGACTTACACAATGTCACAGAAGACCGGCGTTAAGTGGAAGTTTAATACTCATGCATTTTGTCTGTTGAGTAAGGTAACATGAAACCCACTATATTAAGAAGTGGCATCGCATTTGCTACCCTACAGGTGTCGCTAATGTCTATGAGTGGCAGTTAGTACTTGACAACAGATGATTAGCCAGTATGCTTGCAACTTGCTCGAATAAAAAAAAACATAATACATACATTATTAAGAATTCCAATTAGCACAAAACAATAACAATAAGCATTGAATAAGAACACAATCTCTCACTTCGTTCTGCCTCAAACGTAGTGGTTATAAGAAGTGGTTTTAAGTGGTTATGGGTAACAGAAGTTGTGATGACTTACTTTGCTCCATACCGGGCACCTAATGTGAGAGAGTGATTCGCTAATGTGATACATTCAAGTTAATACACTAATTCGAGTCTGCTACAGTAATCGTAGCTCCGATTTTGAATAAAAGAGAGAGGTTAATAAGTTAAAAAAGTATAAGTACGCGATGAGTCCGTGAAGCAGCCGCTATCCGGGATGGCGATTCCTGCGAGGGGCGGCTGCGGCGGCTCGAACACGTCGTCGCTGCCGGTGCTGCAGTTGAGCAGCTCGCCCACGGCCGCCTACCGCCCACACGGTCGTGTGTTAGAGAAATTAATTAATGAATGAATGAACATTTTATTTAGTTCTTACATATAGTACAGTTATGTTAACAGTTAAAAGAATATATACCTAAGGATCAAACAAAATACGTGTGAACTCGGCACGATTTACCGATTTTCAGTACATACCGAAAGCACTTTAATGTAACGATATACATAAAGTATGGCGCTATATATTATTTTAATTAATTATATAAGCATTCACTTTTGTTGTCTATTTTAAAGAGTATGGTTAAATGACTAAAAGGCCAGCAACACATTTGTAAGCCCTCTGGTGTTACAGACGATCATGGGCAGCGGTGATACTTACCATCATGTGAGCTTCCTGCTCGGTTGCCCCTTTAGTCCATAAAATAATTTTGAAAAAAAAAAACCGCCTTCAAACACAACGTCAACGCTTATAACATATGAGGATTGCCCTCGATTTCTCTGGGATGCCTTCATCAGATCTGGGTTTCCTTATCACCCCCCTTATCACCCTTGGGATATCTCCTTTCCAACAAAAAAAGAATCATGAAAATCGGTTCATACATGATGAAGTTATCCCCGAACACACATAAAAGAAATAAAAATATATACGGTCGAATTAAAAACCTCCTCCTTTTTTGAAGTTGGTTAAAAAATAATTCTTGCATCTAATTTGCATTTTTATGTATCCTACTATACATAGTCAGTACATGATACTCTTACAGTGTACTCTAATGGCATTTTCACTCACTTAGTATTAAAAATTCATTTAACAATCAATAATGTAAAAGTTAAGGAAGCGTTAAATTATTTTCTGCATCATCATTGTATACCAGTGTAAGTATAAGTATATTGGAATATAGCCTCCTTAGTTAGCGGTACCTGCAGGCTCTCCTTGCTCTCGTGGCTGAGGTAGGTGGACACCGTGTCGACGCTGTGACGCCGCGCGGACCGTGCGCTGGCGCACTCGTCGCGCCCCCCCCTCTCCTCCCCCTCGCCCTCGCCCTCCCCCTCCGCCTCCCCCTCCGCCTCCAGCTCTCCGTCGGCCCCCGAGCCCGACGGCGGCCCCGTCAACTCCGCGCCCCTGCTACTGTGGCCTGCGAAGCAATCACATAACCAACATCCTGGTTATATAACTGTTGAGTTAACTGGTAATATGATTTTCAAAGCTATGATAGCGCACAATTTTGTTTTCTACTTTCGCTTTCAATTGTAATCGCTTGTGAATTAGACATTTTTCTGGTCCTTCAGCATTTTACAGTTAGGACCTTATCTCTGTTCTAGAATTGAATTACAAAGGCAGTTTTCATTAGCTTAAATGGATGTTGTGTGTGGATTGAAATGAATCACTGTTTGTCGACCAAACAATTAAATGCTCAGTAAATGGTAAAATTTATTGTGACCCAAAATAATACAAATGGACATTTCAGTGTGATTATGAATTTTGTGTGGAAGGGGTTGGGAAGCAAGTGCGGTCCTGAAAGATCTATCGTAGTCATGCAAAGTTAACAGTTACTCACTGAATATGTTGAGATTGTGCAGTATCTGTCGCGCCAGGCCCGGTTTGCGGTCGCGCGGGGAGACGCTGCGCACGCCGCTGACGGCGAGCGGCGGGGGCTGGGGCGGGGGGGGGGGCGGGGGCGGCAGGGCGGGGAGCGAGGGCGCGGGGGGCGGGCGGTGGTGGGCGGGCGCGGGGGCGTGGGCGGGGCGGGGGCGCGGCGCGAGCGGGTAGGGCGGCTGCGCGGCGCGGCGAAGCAGGCGCAGCTGCGGCGCGGCGGGCGGGCCCACCGCGCGCGCCGTCATGCGCGACAGCGACGCCAGCCAGCCCTCGAAGGGGACCGCCTCGCCGCCGCGCGCCCACGCCTCCTCCAGCCGGCACTGGATCTGCCGGCAGACGACTCTTTATCGCACTCCTTTTTAGCTTGATCGATGACCAATTATTCGTTAACAGGCACTATACAAAAATTTTACTCATAATAATGCTTATCACGAATGCAGTGAAATTAGTATCCTTTCCAGCATACAAATATATATAAATACAGCATACAGCATACAAACAAATATAACAGTGGATGCGCCACATTGCATCAAATGCTAAAAAATAATGTTGATAAAAGACGTTAAGATTTTCGTCGGTGTGGCAATCGGCCGTTTAGCTTAGTGGCTGAAGCGCCAGGCCGTGAATGCCGAAGACGTGGGTTGGACTCCCACAGAGGCGACAATCTTGTCATACTTTTGCTACAAATTTTAATGTTTAATCTGAAGTGCAGAGATTACAGCAAAAAGAAATTTAAAAATCTTGGACTTAATTTAAAAAGGTATAAATAAGGAATAATTTGCACTAGGCTACGGGGCGTACCTGCATGGGCAACGGCTCGTAGCGGAGGCGGGCGGCGCGCGCCGAGTCGGCGACGCGCGCCCACTCCCAGCGCGCCCCCCGCCCGCCCGGCGACTGCACGCTGTAGCAGGCGCGCCGCACTGCACACTCCGCACCACCGCACCCGCCGCTCTCTGAGCGGTGACAAGTAGACAATGGTTACCCTCACTTTAAATATAAAGTTTCATCTAACTCGTTGGAGCTATTCCTGAGAAAGAAATATACTTGAATAAATTTATGACAGTCTCCCAGTCAGGTTTAGCTAGTTGAGAAACGAGTAATCAATATTAGAAGAGACAGATTCACTATATATATCTCTTTGTTAATTAATATAGTGGGTAGTAGGGCTCTTGCATCAGGGGGTTTGTGGACAGACACACTACTAGTAAAATATTGTGATGAACATAATACTTTTGAAAATAGCTCCCATAGACTACAATAGATCTTCTAGGTAGCTGTGATTATTGGGACATTACTCAACTCCTTCCACACAATTCATACCTACTTGTCTTACGGTGGCAGGGCCACGCAGCAGCCTCGGCTGTTGCACGAATGGGCAGGCTCGTCCGGGTAAGTACCACGACCTCACAGAAGACCGGCGTAAAGTGGAAGTATAATACTTTCGCATTTCCTCTGGTGAGTAAGGTGGCCGGAGCCCAATTTTCAATTGCCAACGCATCTGGAACCCTCAGGTGTAGCAGATGTCCATGGGTGACGGTATTCACTTAACATCACATCAGATGAACCGTCTGCTCATTTGGCAACTTTTCGCATTAAAAAAAAAAGTACAAGCTTTGCTCAGTTTGGAACCAGATATTGTGAACAAATATGTCCTGAAATATCCACTGAGAGAGGATTTAAGCCAAAATACTACTAATAATGTAAATTATTGTTGAAATGACTCAGAATTGATGTATGTGTTGCATGCACATGCAGACAATTGCAAAATGAAAATATACCTGGTCCATCAGAACATTGTGTGAGCGTCAACAGATTTACATAGTGGCCCTTTAATGCTGGATCGGCATCTGCTAGTACAACCCGTGTCAACTTCTTAGCATGTGCACGCTCCAAAGTGCGTGCCACTCCAGGCGAGTGTGGTAGCCACTGTCCATTGCACTGCCACTCCCATACCACCACACAGTGAACAGACGACATTGCAACATAGCCCTAATCAAAACAATAAGCCTTTTGTTTACATGTTCCTCATAAATAGAATTTAACCAATTACTTATTCTAATTGCAATCAGAATAAACCTTGAAATGTTTTTTTTAGAGAATGCCTCTTTAAAGGTGTTTGAAATAAAATTATTTTATTCCCGATGGCATTATACAACCTAATTTAAAAAGATTAATTTTGTATTTGGAAAATATAAAACATAACTAATTTTTTTTTAAATATTTGTAACCTAGAGTGAAAGATCTATTACAAAGTAATTATAACTACTTAAATGTCAATAATGAATAATTATCTTACTATCAATTAACTTTATTTGCTAACTTCAATACTTTATGTATACACAATTCTGGCAACACATAATCATTAGAAACAATTTACTTTACATTTATTTGTTTTTTTTTTTTTAACTATAGTCTTAATTAAATACATAACAGTTTTAAAACCACCTAGTTGTAGAATAGTTATCATATTATCATAATGTATTGTTTATTTTAGATTATCAATATTATAGAATCCTTAAAATCTTTTTTTAAAACATTGCCCTTACTTTAGGATATCATTATCCTGTGTTGTAAGGACGTTTCACAATTATTCATAAATTTCACGCGGACAAACATCCAGATGCGAAACAACTATTTGTGAGTTACACAAATAGTTGTCTCGTGTGGAAATCGAACCCACGACCACGACGCCGAAGCCAATAAGTTGACAACTGCACCGCGGAGTCATCATAATCTTTGGATATTAACTTTTATTATTTGATTATTAATGAACAAATAACATTCCATCAAACATACATTCCTTTAAAGCTAAAATTCACTATTTTAGCCAAAAATCTTGTAGTGCTTTTAGGTTACTACTACTTTTATGATAAATATTTAGTTATTCTATAAGATTATCATATTAACACTTAAAAACAAATTTAAAATTCACGTAGTCTATAATAATGTAAGTCTTCGCCTTTAGCCGATATTACATTGCATATAAGAGCTATCAAATTTGTTAAGTATCTACTTACACTACTAGTTATTTATTAAGTGTATAAGTTTTCAAAATTATCTAGTACGTGGGAACTAACTCACCTACAGTACACTGAGTTTTTATAGTAGTCTCCACTCCATCACAAAAGTACAGATTAATACATTATTCTCGATTTACATTCATTTTGCTATACAGCAATACATAAATCATAATATTAACCAAATCATAATAAGTCAATGAAACTTAAAAAATGCAACAAAAACATGAAATGAAAGGAGTAATGAGCATAGACAGAACCATAGATAATACACTATAGATACGAAACTCTTTGAGTTAAAGTGTTCTGTGTACGAAACGAACAGAATACTTCAGAACATAATCAAAGAGCATAGAACTTTTTAGCCTATAGCATAGATATAAGACAATGAGCACATATTTCAATTTGTAACAAAAAAAAATTGTAACGAAGTTTGTCAAAACGGCATTACCAATTCTCGAAAATATTGATCCCTAAAGTTTATGTCAAAAACCCCTAAAATTCCTTAATAAAATAATGTTATTAAAAAAATTATATTTAACTAGCGGACCCGACAAACATTGTCCTGTAAACACTACTGAAATCCAAAAACAACTTATAAATAAAAAAATGAAGAAAAAAAATGTAGTTGACCGAATTGTAAATCTAAACTTTTCTTGAATCGACCTGAAGACACACACAAAACTTCATTAAAATCGGTCAAGTCCTATAAGAGGAGTTCAGTGACATACACACGCACTAAAGAAATATATATATATATATATATATATATATATATATCAAATGTAGTAAAAAAACCACATCAAGATTGGGTAGTTTTAAATATCTAAGCATACACAGGGACAGACTGACAGCGAGACGACTTTGTTTTATACTATGTATGAAGATAGCGCAAAGATTTATTTTTTATTTACTATTATTATATTTTTGATAGCCAGAGAAAATGTTGCTCTTATGAAAAGTGTTTAAACAAAACTTGTAGGAAATTTAATTTTATAACAAATTGTCTCTTATGATTTCTTTACACGACCAATATTATTACCGTAATTCCTAAAATGTGTTTCATAATGAAAGATAAAATACTTTAATAACTTTTGGCGCTTTCTTTAAAGCCCGATAGTTTATTAAACAAATACTGAAAATCCTCTTTATTCATTCTCAAGTAATTTCGATAGTCATCTGGATCAATATTACAGTCTGGTATCACAGGCGCAACTACATTTCCTCTGACGAATTTTAAAGTTTTACTACTTCTTTTGGTGCGTTAGGGAAAAATAATGAGAGTACATTTTACAATGCGCACGCACACCGTCACGGAAAACAGACACCCTGAAGTTAGCTAGACATCTACGTATGTTTGCGTGAGAATTGAGAACTGTATTCACGATATTAATTTTCAGATATTTAAATAAACTTTATTTAACTATATAATGCGTTATAATAAAACTTTCAATGTATTAAATAACAGTTTCATTGTTAGTGTTGTTTTTTCAACAAACGTAGGCGATAAGGCGAAAGATAAAATTTTTAAAAAAATTTATATCTTGTTACACAAAATACTTAGCATGTTGAAATTCTAGTCCCTATTATGTGTATAAAAATCAACGTTCTGAGTCAAAACGATAAAAAGACATGAGCAAATTTAGATTTTCGCGAAAACTTGTAAGTAGAAAAATTTCAACGTTTTTATTTTATTTATTTAACCAAAATTTGGTACTTAAAAGCTTTCGCGAAATCTGAATCGAATTTCTAAATTTGCCCATATCTTTGTATCGTGTTGAATCAGGACCTTGATTTTAATACACCTAATATAGACCTCAGTATTTGGTATAAATTTCAACTTGCCCGATTCACTCGTTCCTAAAACTATCGTGGTGATCCGTGATTATTGAGCAACTTTATTACGGCCGTATAATTGATAGGTACGGAAACTACCGCGTACGAGTTCGACTCGCTCTTGACCGGTTTTTTTCTTTTGAAAAATTAGACGGTACACTTCTAGCAGATTCATCGTAATTTTGTTTAGAAACACCGTATTTTTACCCTTGCAACACGGTAATTCTTGTTCTTGATTTACCGGAGACACTGGCAAGGCAAGGGGAAGGGCTATTATTATTAAATATTAATGTTATTGTAATTGAGTTGTTGGAAAATAATGTACCTACTTTGTTTATTTACATTTTTGGTTTAAATGCTCATATGTAATACAAAAAAGGTTTTGTGAGATGTCCTTATATCAGAGTACTTATTTCGATTTTCGAGCCTTCTCCAAAATAACGTGAAAACTCCATTTTCTTAATGCTACTTTCGTAATTTTTATCTTGGCATTTTGTCCCCAAGTTTTATACTTTTTATTGTTTAATTAAACAAATGGTACATAGATAGTTAATTGCTGTACGCAATTAATGAACGTGTATAGTTTAAAGTGTATAATTTCAATACGCGTTTAGGCAAATATTAATTTATAAAATGCCGTACAATAAATGTAAGTAAAAGTGAGATTCTATATTGGTTTCATGCATTATCTAGATCATAATATGATTCTTTCATCTAACTACCGAGTTTGTGATGAGTTAAACGATTTATACAGAGTTTAGAATTCCTTATATTTAGTAACCTAACCTCTAACGAATAAAAACATGGCTTTGTATTGATTTTGTGATTTGGCGGTCTCTGTTTTCCTAGCCAATTGTCAAATTGTCAGGCAAATTTGGAATTATTAACTCTGACTGGTTTTGTATAATATCATTGAAGAATACAATTCTCTTTTACAGATAATACACGTAATAGTAACCGATACAACACTCCAGGACAATTTGTTTCGTCGGGCGAGGTGAGCAATGGATACATAAATTATATTAACAACGTAATGACGATATTTGAACAAAAAGAATAATAAATATTATTTAAACAAAATATGAAATTAAAGTGAAATTTTTGGAAAGCTTACTAAGTGCTTAAATAAAAAATGTCTAAAAAATAAAAAAAATTAAATGTATATGAGAAAACTGGGAACATCAACCTATTCTGACTATTTCCATTTCTATGACAAAGGCTATAAACAGATCTTGGAAGGCATATTTTTATCTTAAACTACTTTTTAGATCCTAGTTTTAAATGACAAAATGGTGAAGAGACGGCATATCATTTTTGCACTAAACATAATTTTGATTTGTTAAATTTAAAAGAAATTATTGTAAATTGTTTTATTTTCGGTATAAGTTTACTTCTGCAATGGAATTTATGTATAATGCAACTTTTGTGTTCTTGGATCCCTTTTAATAGAATTTACTTGAGCAACCTGAGTTTATATCCCGGTGCTGGCATTTAGAAAACTGTTATATGCTTAGTAGTGAAGGAAAATATTGTGAAGAGAACTACATATCTTTGAAATAGTAAAAACAAAAAATATTTCTAAGATGTAGTCCGCCTTTCGGCATTGGGGTTGCTTGGTGGACTATGCCCTAATAATAATGCCCTAATACTAATACCCTCTGTACAGAGGAGACCTTTGCCCAGCAGTGGGAGATTTATATATATTAGTTATAAACACTCACTTTTTTAGATAAGTTCAAATAAATGTAATTAACTAATTACAAGTGATTTTAAATATTTATCATTTTTTATATAACATTATTTATGTCTAGAATTTAATAAAAAAATGGATATACTTAGAAATGTATGTTACACAGCGCAACCCTGAGCCTCCAGACCCAGGCACTGGCTTTACAAAGTCACCGACTAAGCTCTGACTGCGCTCTGGCCATTACTGTACTTATCCTTATATTGTAGATGATGAATGCATACCTGAAATGCTGTTATCTCTGTGATATTAGGAGTGAGAAAACTAACCAAAAGTGTGCATAAAAAACATTGTTAAGTATTTTCAAAAACATTGCAGATTTTGGTTCAGTTTTATGTACAGCAGGTTTGAGTGTCTCTGAGCATAGCTTGGACCGAGAATGTGTTTTGGACACAAAGCTTGGCTTAGTGTACATATTGCATTCTCTAGACTTAAGTATACAGTATGCCCTCTTCTCCTAAGGTGTGACTGCCCTCTGAAATTGTAACAGAGCAGTTACAACATGGTTTGGTATTTGAGCATAATAAGGACTTCTAATGGATATCGCATTTAGTGAATATGCCTTAGGGAATAATGCAGTCTGGTGCAATTTTACTGGGTGAGGCACATGGTAGGAAAGTAGAGGAAGAAGGTAGATGCTAGCTGCTCTCATGTACAAAAGATGATGTATGCATGTTTGTGAAAACTCATTGTTTTAGTTTACTTTACATTACACACCAAAAAAATTAATTGTCTATTGATTACACAATTGTAGTGTATAGTAAACCTGTTTCTTTCACCAGAGGATGTGGGTCTGATCAAGACTTACGAGTTTATGGTAGAAAAGTATGTTTAAGTATTTTTATCAGTACCTGCTACCTGGTACCCATTGTTTAGGTTTAGATTAATTTGGGACTAGATAACGTTGTGTAAAAATGTAGCCAGAAAAAGAAGATTTAAATTATGTACTTTAATGAACACATTAATAATCACTTCATTTACTGTTGACATAAATATTCTCCCACTAAAAATATTTAATTAAACAGAATAGGTTGATTCTTACTATGTTTTGAATGCTGAATGCTGTGAGCTGTGTGTGTTGGAAAGTATGTGTGTATGAGAAGCAGCTGACATGACCCTCAAAGCTACGTAATGCCAGCTGGTGCTTGACGCGGCCCAGGGTACCCACCAGTCGGGCAATTCGCCGCAGCCAAACCAGCAACAAGCCCGGTATGGTAATGTAAGTATGCACTTGGCATGCAGGCTCATAATATGTTGTGATCTACAAGGTTAATTCTTTATATGCCATGTCGAAAATAAAGCCTCTGTTCTAGTATTAATAATAAAGCGTTTTTGTATACATTGAAGGATGATATACAGCTCTAGATGTGAATAGATCACCATGAGTGTTATTCCATGTGAGTATTACATAAAACTAAATGCATTAAGCTGTTGCAGTGCTGTTGATGTATACATTTGTAGAATATCTCATGACATTTCCGGCAACAAACTTTTGAGCAAATCTATATCTTTTTATGTTTATGATGAAATGTATGGGGTGGGAAATTTGTCCTTTGCTAAAATACAGCGCCTCTATCAAAAATACGTGAAAGGGGTTCAGATTAAAATCCAAATGGCGACTTGAGAATATGAAATGTATAATGATAGCCACTACAGCTAGGTCAGGCGCCCCAGCCAGTGCAGCCGCCTTCACCGGCTGAAGCGCCACAGCCGGCGTTCCCGCCGCTGCCAGAGCCGCCGATGCCACCGGCGATGGACCGAGAGGCGCCCTTCAATGTTGAGGTGAGTGGCTCCATTACGAAACCTAATCTTGCATCTCAACCACTTTTTTTATTCAAGAAGGTGACTTAACGAGCTGGCGCTTAACCTGATGTTAAGTCCGCCGCCCATGGACAATTTGCTTTTACTACACTGGGCCTCGGCCACCTCACTCACCATGCGAAACGCAGAAATATAACACTCTTAATTCAGGCTCGTCCTATGTGAGGTCGTAGTGCTTCCCCTTATAGATTAAACAACGTAACTAGATTTCTCGTCTTTATACATATCATTATTACATATTGAAACTTTAAAATATTTACTTTGGAAAGGGTTCGAAACGTCGGGAATTAAAAATCGAATTTAAAACGCGATTAAATCAGTGTTACAGTTTAATTTAAAATGTAACTAGAATTTTGTTCAATGATTTGTCATAAATGTCCTATAACAGAGTGTACTAATGTACGTGTACTAATAAGGTAATAAATACGTATTATAGATAATTTAATTCCTAAATTGACTTCCAAAAAAAAATTCATCATACTACAAATCATACCCAGGCCGTATTTTCATTTGGTCTCAATTTTTGAGACACAATTGGAAAAGTATTGGATTTTATACTTTTAATGTATTAATTTTTCACCACCACCACTTTTTAATAATTTGTAACAGCTAGTTGAGCATACAAAAGTATTATTTGTATTCTGCTAAAGTAAAAGTATTATAAATTACTAGCTGCTGCCCGCAACTACATCTGCGTAGAATAAAACGTACATAAAAATATGTATATAAATTATAGTCTATGTTTTATTCTGGTGTATAAGCAATATTATTGTAAAGGCAAGAAAATCATAGAAATTGTCATTGGTTGATGTTTTGTTTCAAATTAATTTGTTAGCAAAGAGTACATATGCGTTAGTTTCAAGTTTGTTTGTACTGTTTCAGAACGAAGAAACGGACATCAATATGGAGTCCGAATCGAACGTGAACTGCGATGACGGCAGCACGAAGCCGCCATGGATGAAGTCGAAGCTGTCTGGTGGTGAGCTTTTTCTCAATTGTACATCTCACACACTGACTTTAAACTGAGATTAAGATCCTATTTCATGATCAAAACTGTTTTTTTTTGTGTGAGAAAGTGGCAAACGAGCTGGTGGTTCACCTGATGTTAAATGAATACCGCCGCCGATGGACATCGTAACACCACACTTCCGCAACACCCGGTGGCTCGCTGATGCGTTGGCAACCCTAAAAAATGTGGGACCCGGTTACCACACACGGATAACACACCACACGAAACGCGAAAGTATAATACTTCCACTTCACGGTCGTCTTTCTTTCTGAGGCTGTACCACACTTCCCAAGACGGGCCTGGCCATTCATGCAACAGCAGAACCTTTTGCGTGGCCCTACCACAGTTATTGTGTCACCATGACCATGAATGTGTGATTTCAAAACGAAACTCGTCTCTACAGAACTAGTGATATATTTATAATGACAATAGTACATACATTTTGCCTTTAATGTCAAATGTACTGTCTACTGATCCCGGAGGTTGTGGACTCTGAGCCTTTGCGACAGTTTTTCACCGAACCAGTAGTAATGTTATGATAATCAAGTGGTAAGTGTAATGTTTCTAATATGATTAAAGACATTTGAATTTGGTTGCAGTGAAGAAGATCAGCAACCGCGAGCGACGCCGCCGCCAGAACGAGAACCTGCGCCGCCTCCTCTCCCCCAAGAATGCGCTCATGGTGCTCAACGAGATGCTGCCCAACGAGCAGCTGGCCACGGTACCACCACCACTACCCCACTAGGGCATCCGTCTGCTTGGACAGGGCAATTCAACCTGGGTTTTTGCCACGTGAAAATTTGATAATTTGAATTGTGAACCTTGGATGCCACTCAAATTCAAAGTCAGGTCACCACTCTGTTCATAATTTAAAATAGTTTTTTTTAGATTTTCACCAATGAGTATATTGTATAATTGAGCGAAATATATTGTATAAAATATATGTACGAAATATATTGTAATAAATTAATACAATGAGCGAAAAATCCTTGTGTTGATCCACTTCTCGAGTTTTCTCACCTGCTTCCATAGAGAAGTTGTATGTTCAAACATTAAATTACTAATTCCTTATTACAGCAGTTCAAAGTGGAGCCAGTAGCCACCAACAACCAGTACTACAAGCCGCACAATTTCGTTGCCGACCTTTCGCTCGACGGGCAGAGCTATAAGGGCTTTGGTGAGTACAGTGAAGAAAGGATTTGCCTTTTGATTTTTGCTTATTGGTTAAGAAAGAATGACCGAAATTGTCTTTACTCACATTAAGAATCCTCAGAGTCTTTGTTGAAAAGTGGAGGTGGTCCTATGTATAAGTGTACTTACATATATGCTTGGCGTTATTCCTTGCAAAGAATGGTGCTAGAACTAAAATATTTTCTCTACAGGCGAGAATAAGCTGACTGCGCGCAACGCTGCGGCGGAGCAGGCCATCCGGGATCTCATCATCAAGAAGATGAACAAAGCATTTTACACCGAAGGTGACTTGGGTTCGTGCTTCTAGAACAATGCAGCTTGCCAAAATAACTTGTTACATCAATGTGCTATTGAAAAGTTGCTGGCATTTACTGTAAGGCACAGTCGACTATATTTTTCAATGCCAATCATTAATTTTTGTTGGTTGTTATGTACATGTTAGTATCTAAATCAGATGTAAAATTGAAATGGAAGGTTAGATTTTAGAATCTTATGATTATTAACTAAAATAGTTTTATGATACATTACATATGATATTCACTAAGGAATCAAAGTGTCGTCAATCGCTTTGCTGACTGGTTTTTGCAAATCGATGCATACGTTAACTGAAACGAGAAAAAGCGAGGGTATGACCAATAACATACATATAAATACACAGGCATGGTATCGGTAAAATAATCTTTATATGTATACTTGTAGCATTTAAATGCGTTTAAGAGTAGACCGGAAATGTATGGTCGTAAACGAAATTAAACTACATATAGTTTTTAAATTTTATTTCGCTACTTTTCGAACCCTTTTCAACTTTCGTAGTCATGGGATATACTTAGACGTTGAACGTCTGAATGCCATAGTTTTTATACTTATACTCTGGCTCCCGTCAGTCGACCTACAAATTTAAATGTAACGCGTCGAATACAATAATGTCAAGAAATCATCATACGGGTCGCAAAGCGAGAACGTGAGCACGTGATCTTGCTGTTTCCAGCGTCCGGGGGCAGCGAGAGCGGCGAGGGCGACGAGGAGCCGCTGCCTATGATCCAGCTGGCGTCGTTCGCGCTGCACAAGCTGTTCTGCGAGTGGGAGGTGGAGGGGCACAAGGTGCCGCAGCTGCGGCCGCCGTCGGCGGACGCGTCGGGGGCGGCGGGGGCGCCCCCCTGCCCCTCGCCGTGCCTCGCCCTCGCCCCCGCGCCCGGCCCGCGCGCCCCCCGCCGGCCCAAGCAGCTGCCCGAGGACGCGGCGCAGCAGCACCCGTGCATGCTGCTCACCTACATGCGGCCCTCGCTCGAGTACCGCGAGCTGGCCGCGCACGGCGACCGCCCCCAGAACATGCTCTACACGATCGGCGTCGACGTCGACGGCGCCACCTACATCGGCAAAGGTGGGCCCCGCCCGCTAACTTCCTTCACCGCTGAACACGTGTTAAGGATCACCCGGGGATTGAACGCAACTAGCTAGTGTGTTTGATTTTGAAACTTGAAAACGAACGCCGCAACAATAAGCTATCAAAGCTCCAAATTTTCCATTTTACTACTGGAGGTGTGCATTGCGAGTGCCGTTTACAAACTGCTTCCAATAAAATCAACGCCCTTTCTTACTCCCCTTAAATGGACCAAACGTCTTAACGAAATTACTGGACTTAAAAAATAGACTAAATACTCATTCATCATCAGATCATTGACACCAAACTTGCTAATAAATCAAAATGCAGCATGTCGTTCTTATAAATATCTGATATAGCACAGGCGTATTAAAAATATGAAATAATAAGAAAAATGACTTAAACTTGAATTTTATCACAATAACAAAAAAAAGTGAAGTCCCCCATCCATAGTGAGGGCGTGTTTTGGACTATGCCCCAATATCCTCTACAGAGGCTGTTTACTTACCAAGTAACTCCATCACAGCAGTGTCTGCATATTTATTATTGTATCTTATCTTACGCCATTGCATTTCAGCGCAAAACAAGAAGGAGGCGCGGAAGGCGGCTGCTCGGGCCGCCTGCAAAGCCATTTTTGGTGTGGAGTTCCAGAACTAAAGGGGTGCACGGATCCAGAACTATAGGACATTGATGGACCTGGACGTTTTGACTCCATCATCGAAGAACCTCGTTATATTGCGTTTAATTTGTGAAAGGAAAAGTCCCATTTTTGTACAAAGTACATTTTAAGTGTTATAGCAGCAGTAGCATAGTCTATTTCTTTCTTCGATCTTGTTGTTCAGAGCAGAATGAAATTAATAAATGTTTGTATTTATAAAAGAATCGGATAGCTGTAGCGCTTTCTGGCGTATTAAAGTGTAGGAACAAGGAGGATCTTTAAGCAATGTGACATTATTGTTCATATTGTGGTAAACCATTTAGACATGTTACTGTTGCCGAGTTGTTCTTTCCATTTTCCCCTTTTTTGATGTACTGTGTATCATTTGGTATTTAAACATATAAAACAAAATATTATTGTAATATATTTAGAGAATTTGCAAAGATTACGTATGTCATACTTATTCTAAATTCTCTTATGCTGGAAGTCAATGTTATCTAAATGTTGACCTCCGTGCTTCTTTAAATGAAGACAATTATTTGTCGCCACTTAGAGTAAGGAGTAATAACTTTAGAATATACAGTTTTACAGTTACAATTTTAAGGTATATTACATTGAATTATTTTATTAAATATTCAATATTTAGTAAAAAGTTGTTTTGCATCTCTTTTAGCCCCAGTCATTGTAAGAATATTGTGTTCTACATGAAAATGATCCTGAGTCTGAGGACTGTATAAAAAATTGCAAATAGTCATTTGCAAATAAAAAATTGTTTGTTAACATTATGTTCATAGATTGTGGAAAAAAGTTGGGTATGTTTCATGTTTTTTACCATTGATGGCGAGGTCTCAGCTTTGATAGAAATAGGGATATCATATGAAATAATTAACAACGATTTTATTGATGAGTAGTACAGGTCCCAAATAGATACTTTTTATTTGAATCATTAATTATTTGGATTAAGTAGTTAGTAGCCTCTGAAATGCCTATAGAAATATATTGCAGACATTAGTTGGAGTGGTTTCCAGGTGGAATAAAAAGACGATATATGGACATAACTACATTTAATAACATTTTTAAAAGGTACATGAATAAAATAACTACTTTTCCCCGCTGAAGACTCCATCATTTCATTTGTTTATAATACATTGCAGTACTATAGACTTTTGTAATATTTAAAATAATATATATTTAGTAAAATTGCAATCAGATTTGCAATTGAATTTTATTTCGTTTCGCCGTACCTTCAGCGGGCTTTAAAAAGTAACATGCTAATATCACATTACCCGTCTCCAAACGTATTAATATATATGATATAAAATGACAATGTGTGTACACTAAATCTAAGCGACCTTTGCGTTTCACAGCTAAGAATAGATCTGCTAAAAACTCGACCATTGTGACATCAAAAATCTTTTCCGATCCTTCGGCAGCCATTTTATTCATCATTTCTTAGAACTTACGATTTATACCATTACATTAACCAAATGATATTCGCTGTGCGTAATTTCTTGAGCAAATATCATTTAAAGTAGCAATGCTGTGTTTATTTAAAACCTATGGTCTTCTCTTGCCTTCATGAACCGTGCTGAAGTACATGCCAACTCCATCATTACGAAAAACCCTTTAACGAAATAACAGCAGAACGAAAAGGAAACTTGTAAACCTAACACTAATCTAAACTATTCAGTCTTAGCAATTGCTAACGAATGCTGTAGCAGACTTTAATTGGATGTACTAAACCTGCTGATATTCAGTGCCGGCCCAAGGGTAGAGCAAGTGGAGCTTTAGGCGCCAGGTATCGAGGGGCGCCAAATATCAAATGGAAACAACAATTATCACATAAAATAAAATTTTAATGGCCCCTTTTTACTAGGAAACAGATTTTATTGTTTAGTGACTGATTGAAAATTACAAGTAATACTTATTTAATTATATTAGTAGGAGAGGTTTTAATGTTTGTAGAAGCAGTCACTAATTGAAATTAACACAACTTGAATCATATAAAAATCTTAAATTTTACGACTCGATTGGCGTAGTGGGTAGTCAACCTGCCTCTTGCACCAGAGTGTGGGTTGGATCGCCACTACTGGAAATATATTGTGTTAAGAATATAGTGTTTTTCCAATATCTATGTACGGTGTTTATAAAAGTATGTATATCAGTTATCTCATACCCATAGTACAAGCATTGCTTAGTTTAGGTCTAGTGAACATTGAATTACGTAGCGGTAGAAACGTTTTCAATGTTAAAGAAGCAAAGGTATATAACTAAAGTTACTTAATTTAATTTAAATCCAATAAATATTGTCCTTTGCTATAAATTGAGTTATTGACATTTTTTTTTATGTGAGAAAGTGGCAAACGAGCTGACAGTTCACCTGATATTGAATGATAACCGCCGCCCATGGACATTTTCAACACCCGTAGGGTTGCGAATGCGTTGCCAGTGCCACCTTTTAATAAAGTGGGCCCTGGCTACCTCACTCACCAGACGGAACGCAGAAGTGTAACACCTTTTACTTTACGCCGGTCTTCTGTAAGGTCGTGGTACTTACCCCGACGGACTTGCCCATTCGTGCAACAGTCGAGGCTGCTGCGTGGCCCTACCACAACCCTATCACACTAAAGGGCGTTGAAAAGCAATATCGCTCTACCCTGATCAAAGGCTAGGGCCGGCACTGCTAATATTATTACCAAAAAACGTGCATAAAACTGCAGCATTTTTGCGCAGTTCCCTTTACCGTTTCAGTGATGTATAAAATATATAACGTTTAATTTGTCATACTAACAGTAGTTGTAAAAAATATGTGAAGATTTCTTTGTAACAAACATTTTTTTTTGGTTATACCACGGGAGAGCGTACTTACACAACGTCCTGAGCAAAGCAAAGATTCAAAGAAAAAATGTTGAGACACCTTTGTTACCTATATAAATTATTTATTAAACCGTTTTACGAATGGATAAATATTGCACTACACAAATAACAGAACATAAATACAATAGCAACAGTAGTAAAAACGTAAAAAAGTAAAACACTTGTAACAGATATAAACGAAACAAAAACGTCAAAAAGTTCAAGAGCTATTGAATGTTGGCACGGTGCTGTACCTGTCAAAAACTTGCTTAAGTCTATAACTTCTAACATTACTAATAATATTGGACGTTATAGTGCCGAAAAGTACTTGAAATTTTGTAGTCCCTTGTCTAAGAACAGTAAATATGCACGCAGAATAAAATTTTATATTGTTTAGCTTTCTGTTATGTAAAACCGTATAGCAGTTGAAACGTTAGTACGAATTTTATCGTTAACGTTGTTTCTTGTAGATTTAATATTCTGCGTGTATATGAACATTTCACTTCATTTCTAAAAGTCGCTACGTTTCCATTTGGTGTACATCTAGAGATCCACGGTTAAATCGCTCCCTAGTTCTCGCTAAATGGACGTCAGTTGGCTAAAGCTAGTCGAATACTCACAAGAGCCTGTAGGTCCACATGGAGAGCGGACTCTGCAGCAGCGCCAGGTGCGGGGGCTCCTTGCCGCCCACCAGCAGCAGGTGCAGCCGCGCGTTGCCGCCCCTGGGCTCACTCCTCGCGCGCCGCTCCCCCAACTCCTGCAGCTCGATGTCGGCCGCGCCCATGCCCGAGTCCGGGGTCATGGCCATCCCCAGACTCCTCACGTCCGGGCCCAGGTAGTGGGGGTTGCTGAAGCCCAGCGACGGCGCGCCGGACCCGTTCACCTTCTCGGCGCTCGCGTAGTCCGACGTGGACAGCTCGGCTTCGTCGTCCGCGCCGGGCGCCTTGCCGAACCGCACCGAGGCGGACTTGACGATCCTGGCCTCGGGCGCGTGCTGCTTCGGCGCGGGCAGCGCCACGTCGGCGAAGTCGGGCACCGAGAGCGGCCCCCGCGAGAGGTCGCGGCGCGGCTCGGCCTCGTCGGCCTCGGCGGGGCTCTCGTCGCTGTCCGCGAACACGTGGGCGGAGCGCGACTTGGGCAGGCTCTCGGTGGAGTCGCGCTCGCCCGCCAGCGCCGTGTAGGAGCAGCGCGCGGCGCGCCGCAGCCGCAGCCCCGACAGCTTCGAGATCTCGCGCAGGAAGCCGGCCGGCGGCTCAGGGCGGCGCGCGACGCCCCGCGGAGCCACCGCGCTGCGCACTCGCCCCGCCCCCGCCGCCGCCGCCGCCCCTCCGCCGCCGCCCGCCCCTCCCACTAACAGCGCGCGGCTGTCCGCGCGCGCCGACGGCCACTTCGCGCTCTGCTCGATACGCTCCCAGCTCTCCGTTGCTGCAACACAAATCATTTTCAATAAAGGAAAGATATTCGAAACAGTGTGAATATTACCGCAGACTCTTTGCTGAAGGGTTAAAATATTTGAACTAACCAATAAAAGTGTTTTTCTTTCACTTACTAAATATATTTTATAATGTTGCCGACCGAGCATAGTTAAACATGATCACCGCTTTTTAATTTTTGGGCTACACAATAGTTTGCATGAGAGTGTTGACGGTAAGGAATGGATAAAAGGTATCTGTGCATACCGAAGTGGAAGCGCCACATCTCGTTGGTGGCGTGTCCGCGCGCCTCGCCGCCGAAGATGTAGAGGTGAGCGCCCGCGCGGAGACCGGCGTGGCCGCTTCGGGCGCTCGGGGCCGCTCGCCCCGACCCCCGCACCGCCGTCCACACTCTAGACACTGCCAATAAAACCATACTTTATCCACATCGTCCTGGTGAAAATTTGGTCCTTCGACCCAGATGCTAATTTTATGTATACCATAAATCGGCGAAACCTACTTACGAAGAGACCTGCATAGGAGCAACCTTCTTGGTACAGATTGCTTAACCATTGTCATCAGATCAGTTTGCGTATTAGACTTCCTTTTTACGTGGTTTCCACTAAATCTAAATGTTACTGCAGCTGGTGAACTGCGGTACTAAAATTGTGGAAGGCCGAATGTGGGCAAAAGGAAACGTGTCGTACAAAATGGCCGACGGCCGTTCTATATCGTAGTGCCAGAGGGGAAAGTGGCTAAAGGGGAAAACCTGTCGCATAAGACGGCCGACCTACGTCGTAGTGCCAGAGGGAAAGTGGTTAAAGCGGAAACGCGTCTAATAAATCGGGCGACCTGTGTCGCGGTGCCCGAGGTGATAGTGGTTAAAGATGAAACGTGTCTTATAAAACGGCAGGGGGGAAAGCGGTTGCAGGGGAAACGTGTGATTATAAAAAGGGCGACCTATGTCGTAGTGCCAGAGGTCGCCGCAGTCGCGCAGGTCGCACTGGCCGCCGTGCACGTAGAGCCGGTCGCCGAGCAGCGCGGCCGCGTGCCGGTGGCGGGCGGGGCCGGCGCGGAGGGCGCGCACCTGCCGCCACGTCTCGCTCTCTGCGGACCAGTGCATAGTGGACCTGTCTCTTTCCTCTCAGCGGGTTTTGAACAACACGTTGCATGATGAATATAGCATAGTTGTTCTAGCGTCTGGTTGTTTTGTGTAAGAACAAGCGAGCTGGCGACAACACCCTTAGGGTTACAATGCGTTGCCATCTTTCAATAAAAACTCTCTCTCTCACTAGAAAAAACGCAGGAGTATAATACTTCCACTTCACGCCGATGCTCTGTGAGGTCGTGCCACTAACCCGGACAAACCTGCCCATTTGATTTGCGAAAATTGCACCATAAAATTGTGTTTATGTATGTTCATCAGTTAGTATCCATAGTACCAGATTTACTTAGTTTGAGACTAGATAACGTTGTATAAAATTATGGTATTGTAACATTAAACAGCTCAGCCTGACTCATCCTCGTGGACGCTGTGGATTTATCGAAAACCAATTTCAAACATTTTGTTAAAGCTAATGGATAGGGCTTATTATAATGTCGAAGAATAGGGAGTGGTATTGAGTAAAGGGATGTGGAGAAATTATTAATCTTGCTCTGCGATTGCAGAGCAAGAGTATTCATTGAAGTCCAGATTTAATACTTAAATAATTTTTTATACTTATATAATTTAAAAAAAAAGAAAAGATAACAAGACCGCGGATTTTCTTCCCGGTTCTTCTTTGTTTTAAGTTCTGTGAGCTGTCTAAAGCTTCATTACTAACGAGAACTAAGAAAATGCTATCCTCTGTGGCTTTGAAACCTGTAACTCTTCAGACTCAGTATAGCTCATCAAACTGTGTCACAGTATTATGTATAATAGCGAGTCACCTATGCTAGTTTAAATTCGCTACTACGTCCTTTCGATCTGATAAAATTTATTATATAATTCGCCCAATTATAACTTACGTCTTACGTGTGACACGCTCGAGCTTTTTTAGTCGCAATAAAATAATTATGTTGAGAGAATTTTGCTTAATAATTTATTAAAAAAAATATTTGACCTATTTCTGAGTTTAAATTAAGACAAAAAGAAATAAAAGTTTTAAATAGTTTGTCGAATTTTTTAACCCTGGTCTAAGTAGGTCAGGTCAACACGGTAAAAAATAAAAAGTAAGAAGTAGTTATAGACGACGAGACAATAAGTGTAGTGGATAGTGAACCTGTGCCTTGCACCAGAGGTTGTTTGATTGTTGATCCCCACTACTGGAACCATGATGTCTGATGAACATAGTTTTTCCAGCGTCTAGGTTTTTATATGTCTATAATATGTACTCATTTTTCAGAGACAGGCTTTTATATGTCCATAATATGTTTTCATTTAAAAAGAAAAATATGTTTACCAGTTTTATATTACCCAAATATGTCCAGCTGTAGGCCGTGTATACGTTACTTAACAAAGCTAATGTATTGTAAGATACATTACACACCTTATAACTATATGGTTGACACCAGTAAGAAAAGGGATCTATAAAATATATGGAGTGGAGAGTTGACGATTGCCAGTCGAGATGCGTAGCGCACTGCGTGGCAACTCACCGTAGTGGAAGGCCCAGAGCTCGTTGGTGGAGCCGCGCAGGTCCATGTAGCCGCCGTAGAGCAGCAGGCAGTCGGGCAGCGGGTGCGCCGAGTGGGCCCTGCGGCCGGCGGGCGTGCTGCCCCCCGCCCCCGCCCCCGAATTTGCGCCCCTGCGACGCCTGCTCCCGCAGCGCACCTGCCCCGCCAGCTTGCGCCACACCTCCAGCTGCGCATAGCACGAGTGCATTGTCCCTTTTAGGGTTCCGCACCCTAAGGGTGAATCGGGACCCTGTTCTAAGACTCCTCTGTCTGTCTGTCCGTCCGTCCGTCCGTCCGTCTGTGACTAGGCTTTATCTCATGAACCGTGGAAGTTAGACAGTTGAAATTATACAACAAATACTAAATAACAGAATAAAATAATATTTAAATGGGGCTCGCATGAAGCAGATATGATTTTTTTTTTGCCGTTTTTACAGATAAATGGTACGGAACCCTTAGTGCGCGAGTCCGACTCCCACTTGGCCGGTATCATTTGAACACCGCCGTTAATTGGCACTCAACCGGAAATATTGCAGGTAACATAATATAGCACCTACTATGAATGTTTTTACGATGGACGTAGCTCACTCAATGGACGAAACGGTTAGAATACTAATAAGGTTTGAATTGAATAATTTTGCTTTATGCTGGAAATTTTCGTAGCCGTGGTACTACTCCAGTCAAGATACTCTATTCGTGAAACGGATCCGTTACGGTAAGGTAAAACTAAAATAGTGCAATAGAGAACAAGATCATGAAGCATTTAAGGCTTCTTTCAATCTCCGTTTAAATATGGACCAATCGTCATCTAAAATATCCAGCTCAGGATGTTTCAGAACCAGGGAGGTATAACTGCGTCTAATTTGAGATGGAGGTTTATTGCAAGTTACGATTGTACGATGAGTTAGGAAACAAAACAATTCACATTTCCATAAATTGCGCAAGGGTTTATTAAGAGTTACATTTCCAAGTCATTACAAGTACATTTTAAAGTTGTAAAGCGCTAACGTGTTCATGGCAAACAGCCGATAGTGGGATCTATGTCCTATTCGCTAGTATGAGGTACCTCGGTGTCGTAAATCCAGAGCGGCGTTTCGCTGGAGGACGAGCCCGCCTCGCCGCCGAACACGTAGAGTCTGTTCTCGTGCGCCGTGGCGGTGTGCTCCTGCAACGCGGGCGGGGCATCCCCGCGGCACTCCAAGCGCTCCCATTGACCAGTCGCTATTGGAGTACAACCGTTCAATTAATACCATAAACTCTGGATGCATACATCATCTATGCTCTTTTATATATATGTATCATCTATGCTCTGGATAAAACGATATCTACTCGTTCCCGACGTTGAAATGTCGTCCACGGGGTCGTAAGTGATTGACGCCCTGGACTGGATATCGGCCCAATGGGATCGTTTACGCGATGCAAACACAAGCGCCGTGGAAGAAAAACCGGGAAAAGTATAAAAACTTATACGTAATGTGTCTTTGATACTTATTCGTTCCAACCAGCTTATTGATGCAACATCAAAAGGTACAACGTGATTAAACTACGAAAAATACCGTGTGTGTTCATTCGTATATACGTAAAGAGCTGTACTTCTTTGGTGTAATGAATAAAATATTGTTTTTTATTCTTATCATTTGGAAAAATAATACTCTATTGGTACAGAACCCTTTTGAATCGACACTCGACGACATTTTTTTACTAGTCGTATGTGAAAAAATGTTTGAAAAGAAGGCGAATAAGAGCTTGGCGCCTGTGTCAATATGGCGGCCCTTGACCTAATTGGCGTAGACAGCGAGCGGTGAGCAATTTTGTTCAAAGTGAACGCTGCACAATGTTAAGTGCCCTCATCTACCTCTCAAAACAGCAGCATGTTTGTCCCCGGGAGAGGGCGTTTAGTGTCGAGTTTGCCGATTTTTTCTTTAGCCATATTGTCAACAAAAAAAACATACACATTTTTAAAATAAAAGCAAAAGAGTTAAAGGGCGTGGGATTCTCATTATGAGTGTTCGGGCTGTTAAGGCGTGTTTTAGCTTGACGGTTGCGGAGCATTTAAAATACGTCTTGTTTGTGTAATAAGAAGAGCCGTGATAGCTCAGTGTCCGAGCGCTCGCCTTTGATTCCATATACTCCAGCAACCTGAGTTCGATCCCCGGTGCCGGCACCAAAGAATTTTTTAACTTTAAGACCTGACTTATCACGTGCTCCGCGGGGAAGGAAAACATCGTGAGGAAACCTGCATATTTTCGAAATAATAACAAAAAATACATATTTCGAAGATATGTGAAGTCCGCCAATCCACAGTGGGGCCGCGTGGTGGAATATGCCCTGATGCCCTCTGTATAGAGGAGGCCTTTGCCCAGCAGTGGGACATATATAAGCGGTTACTTTACTTTTTTTGTGTAATAATCTATTAGCAACTAACTTTACAGCTGATTGACCCGTATTTTGTTAGAAACTACACGCATAGCTATATGTATATAAAACGATTGAACAATGAGTTTTTTTTTAATGTATAAGGTATTCGCCGAACTGGCGATTCACCTGATGTTAAGTGAAGACATTTGCAACACCCGTAGAGTTGCAGATGCGTTGCCATCTTTTAATAAAGTGGGCCCCGGCTACCTCAGTCACCAGACGAATCGCAGAAGTGTAACACATCTACTTCACACCGGTTTTCTGCGAGGTCGTGGTACTGTCCTGGACATACGATTCGTGCAACAGTAAAGACTGTTGCGTAGCCCTACCACAGTTAAAGTTTGTCGAGGCTGTCTCGACGGTCGTGGGTTCGAAGGGACAAGTATGTGGGTGACCCACATAAATTATTGTTCCATTATGATCTGTGTGTTTGTTCTAGAGAAGGATTGACGTCAGGCAAGTGGCCGATTGTAAAAAGCCTAGAAAATCATTTAGAACACGTTTCACATCTGGGATAAATGCAGGAGAAACGTGAAGAAGAAGGCGGATGTACGAGTATTTATGAAAACATAGAGATTACACATGAAAGAAATTTTATAGGACATATCATTTAGTACACTTTAGATTTAATATCTTTAGTATCAACAAATAAATTAATGGAATTATTAGTTCTCACTCATTGGTCAATCAGAAATTTTAAAGGCAGCAATCATTACTCTGTGCAACTCTTTGATATAATTTTTAGCTTTCAGCACTTTTGAAATTTAAAAAAGTGCTTTCCGGATAAATTTTATCCAAGACAAATCTTGCGCAATATTCTTAAACAAGTTTCGAGAAACGAGCTTCACGTATATATAGAATTTCTAAATAAAAGAATATAAATCGTTATTAGAATAACTGTATTTTCAGCTACTATTACTTATGCTTTTAACTAAACAATTTGGCTATGCTGTATTTTTTTTATTTATCAACAATTTATTAAAACATTTATACGAACAGGTTAAGTCTGTTCCGCAAATTAATAATATGTAACTGGGCAAAACATGTGTGGCAATATTTATGTCTAGGCTAGTTAACGTATATACGTTTGTTGATATGTAGCTTAGCCGCGGGCCAATGTCGAGATGTTTGTTATACAGATGTGATGGTTATGCAGAGACGTTGTGCTCTATGGGCCCAGTTGTTAATACATATTCCCGTTGTATTGCCTCGTTTGCTTGATGTGATATGTTTGAGTGTTTATATTCATAAAATTCTTTATTCACGTGCAAATGAAAAAATTATTTCGTCTTGCAAATATAGGTAGGTACTTTCATCACCACAATCGTCATTACAGCCTCTTTTAATCTAATGCCGGACATAGGCCTCTCCCACAGACTGCAACGTGGCATGGTCCTGAGCCATCGTGCATCTATCGACTTCCCAGAGATCGCCACTCCGTCTAGGTCGTCCTACACTGTGATGGCCAATAGGAGGCTGCCATCGTGAATCCATCATCAGTTCTACGAGCTACATGGCCAGCCCATTGCCATTTCAGCTTACCATTTAATAGTATTGCTATGATAAATAGTATAATAAATGATTCAATAGTGAACAACCGAACAAGTTTCTAGGTATAGAAACAGGTAACATGGTGGTAGGGCCTCGCAGCAGCCTCGGCTGTTGCAGGAACGGGCAGGCCCGTCCGGGTAAGTACCACGACCTCACAGAAGACCAGCTTAAAGTGGAAGTATGACAAATACTTTCGCGTTTCGTCTTGTGAGTGTGGTAGCCGTAGCCCATTTTTCAAAAGGTTGTCAACGCATCTGTAACCATCGGATGTAGCCAGTAGTGTAGTAGATATCCATGGGCAGCGGTATTCACTTAACATCAGGTGACCCGTCTGCTCGTTTGGCAACTTTTCGCATTAAAAAAAGGTAAAAAAAACAGGCTAAGCATGCCGGATATTACTTCATTTATTTTATGTCAACGGACGATTTCGAGTCGCGAATAATGAGTACCGATAATCAGATGACACAGCGTAGGAACACCGGAACAACTATTTATGGAGAACAAAACTGTTAGTCCAATGTGTAAATAGAAGGAACTGCACAGTGCGCAATGGAAATTGGCAAGGTGCTGATTTTTTCAAAATTAATTGTACTACTTCAAATGCTAAGAAAACAATGTAGAAGAATACGTTAAGATTTTCGTCGGTGTGGCAATCAGCCGTTTAGCTCAGTGGCTAGAGCGTCAAGCCGCGAATGCCGAAGACGTGGGTTCGATTCCCACAGCGGCGACAATCTTTTCGCACTTTTTCTACATATTTTAATTAATTGTACTATACTTGAAGAGGCGATGATGCCGATGTGAGGTTTAAACCTGGTAACCCTTTATTTTCACCTCCTAGTTCAAAGATAAAGGCGTTTGGCATTGGCTCTGATGACTCACCAAGGGAGAAGCGCCAGAAGTCTCTGAGCGGCACGGAGCCACCTGCTCCCCTTCCACCCAACAGGTACAGGTATCCGCCCAACAGCGTGGCCGAGTGTTTGCCCCGGGAGCACGGCGCAGCCCGCCCCTCGCCGCCCCCGCTGTCCACGTATGTCCACATCTCACCTGCCAATACAAAGAGGTAAACTAAGAGCATATACATGTTCCACTGCTGGGTAAAAGCCCTCTGTACAGAGAGTATTAGGGCATAGTCCACCACGCGACCCCACTGCGGATTAGCGAATTTATTTATTTTTTCTTCGATTTTTTTTTATTTGATCCTAAAATATAGAGGTTCCTCACCATATTTTCCTTCACCGCTGAGCACGTGATAAGTCAACACTTAAAATTAACAATTTTATTGGTGCCGGCACCGGAATTAAAAAGCAAGCGCCCGTATACTGAGGTATCATAACTCACTATTGACGGCCTGATTGGCGTAATCTAGTGGGTAGTGAGAATGCATCTTGCGCCAAAAGGTATGGGTTCGAACCCCAGTACTGGAAAAATATATTGTGACGAACATAGTTTTTTCCCGGTGTCTGGTATGTATAATATTTATTTATATACATAAGAAAAGTATGTTTAAGTATGTAACGTTGTGTAAAAATGTGTCTTAAGATATTTATTCATTTATCTAATTTCGATCATCTGGTAAAAATATAGCTTAAACGGAAATGTAAATACGAGCCTAAAGTAAAAGGGATTGAAGAGAGTATTTGGTTATTTTGACGTATCGCTGTAATATAGTATTGCCTGTGTCCCTTGTATCGACAGGTTTTTGAATATCACATTATATTGATGCTTATATTTGAATACATTTCCCATATTTATCAATGCATGTAGAATCACAATTTAATAATTCAAAGAAGCTTTAAGTTTTAGCGAAAGTTTGACAGTATCCCGTCCACCCTACCGTTAATAATCGCGGGTTGTTTATAAAGAAAGCCGTACTACTAAATAGGTGCATTGCTCCCTTTCATTCCCCTCGAGGAGAGTGGTAGCATTCCATATGTACGTTAAATGAAATGCGCGGATCCCTCAGGGCTCGTTTCTAGGCCCCGCGCAACTCCTACTCTATAAGTATTGCTCATTGAGATTTGCGACCCTCGTTTCTCCATGAAGGGTCCTGTTCGGGAAATGTCGCTTTAACGTGTAAATATTGGCGAGACAACAGAAAACATCGGTTCGATGAATGCTTTTCATTTACAAAGAGCAATGAAACGGGATATTTATTGAAGATTTTGGAAAATTGACATAAAATTATAATACTTCAGCTTTTGACACATTTCATATTTCCATTAAGTTAATAGAATAAATACAAAAAATTTGACAACATATGTACTCAAAGTTAATTTTTGAATAATCAATGAAATATATAGCAACTGATTTGTGGCCAACTGCCAGTATTTATCGTATACTTGAGCAACTGTAATTGTTCTTTATGTGAAAATTTTTCAAGCGAGCGGCCGGTTCACCTGATATAAGTCAATTCCGCCACCCATGGAAATATTTAAAAAATGGGCCCCGGTAACCTTACTTACCAGACGCAACGCAGGAGTATAACACTTCCGATTTACGCCGGTCTTCTGTGAGGTCGTGGTACTTACCCGGACGAGCCTGCCCATTCGTGCAACAGCGAAGACTGTTGCGTTGCCCTACCACAGTTACTTACATAATAATAGAAAGACGAATTTGTGAAATTTCCTGTTTATGGTGATCACAATAACTGTCGACACAACAGGTACATAAGCTTTTGATGTATCGTTTTTTGATGAATCTGCAACTATGTATATAGAGCTGTTGCCTTTGTATGTCTTCATCATCTTATGTCCGCAGTGATCAAAGTGTATTGCATCAAATATTTAGCCGCCTATAACCGCGTGCTTGTCGGCGGCAGGGGCCTCACTACCCTCTGTTTGCACCCTCCCGTCGGCAGGTTGGACCCCTGACCGACCGCATTTCCCCTTTCGATGCCAAAACAGAAAACAGACGGGGCGTTTTTTTTTCAGTTTGATTTGTGTACAAAAGCGAAAGAACGTTGGCACAAAGAATTAAAATTGAATACCGCACAATAACGTTTACGGTAAAGTCTTGCTTGCTTGCTACAGGTTTTGTTACCGGTTTAATGTAATTAACTGAGTATTTTCTGATGTTCAAGCGATTGGATGGAAAAAGCTTTTCTTAAAAGTCGGAAGGCAAAATATTTAGTTTAATAGATGCCTTAATAATTTTTATTATATTTCACCTGTGGTAATATTTATCAGCATTAATCATAATATGTGATAATTAAATTAACAAGACCGTATTGTTGTTTATTACTCCAGAAATATTTTTAGAAAAAGAGCTTAAATTATTTTAAGAGCATTCAGTCTCCTCATAGTACACGAGGAAACAACAACGGCTCAACTTGAATTGCTTTGTGAACTTGAGGGTTCGAGAATACCGCTGATAGGAGAAATTGCCGATGACAATGCACACATAGTAGGTAGGAACGCGAAAGCATCTAAAAACATGTTTATTTGCCTACTTTGTTGAGGTCGGGATAGGCTCTCTTCTTGAATGACCCTAAATCTAAGTTTATCAATATTTTGTGGTTTGTGGGTAGTATTAATGGGGTAGGACCACGAAGTAGCTCTTGCTGTGGGAATACGAATGGTCAAGCGCGTCTGGAGAAGTGCCACGGCCTCACAGAAAAGCGGGGTGAAGTGGAAGTATTAAACTTTCGCGTTTCGTCTGGTGAGTGAGGTAACCGGGGCTCACTTTTAGGTTCTCAGCGCATTTGCAAGCCATCGGCTGTAGTAATTGTCCATGGGTGGCGATATTCACTTAACAGCAGGTGAACCATCGAGTCTCTCTCGATAAATTTTCACATTAAAAAGAAAGTTCGGTGATGAAAGCGGAGATTAAGTCTGAAAACAGGGTAAATTTTATTTGGTACAATTTAGTTAGACATTACTACGTATATAGTTGGTGTAATTTGATTTAATATTTATGGAATTAAAATTAAATTTGCGTTGGTAAGTGAAAAATAGGAGTGTAAGGCGAGGGTGGCGGGGGGGTGGGGGTCGCTTATCTCGTTGCTGAACGCTTAGCTGGGCCACGAGTGGCCCGCACCAACGCCACATCAGCGGACTTAATTGAGGGCTCCCACATAGCTTTGATGTGTACGTAAGTATGACGCATCCAATGTGTATCCAACAGATACTGGTCATTGGAACGTGCCGAAAATAAATTTGCGACGTATTACAGACAGACGGGATTATCCGCAATATTATTGACGGCAATAACTTTGATCCACAGTTATGTATGTGTTACGTACATCATACAAATTCCCTTTAATATTCGATAATATTCTTTATTGAGACACCGTGAGTACATTTTACGTTAGCAATATAATTCTCAGCCTTTTTTATCGCATAAGATAACTCTTACATTGTCAAGTTGCTGTTAGCTGCATTATAAAACGTAAACACAGTATTGGAAGTAATATTAACATTGATTTATTTTTAACTCGACTCTAAAAAGATGCTGAATAACATGTTAAGTACCCTGCTTAGTATAGTAGTACTCTACCTAGTGTACTACTACTCTATACTATAATTTATGTCGGTTTGTATCACATACAAAATGTGATACAAACATTGCTTGCTTTTCTCTCTTACTTTTTCATACCGCAATTTAGTAGGTATTATCTCTTTATTTTGCTTTGTCCACAATTTTGTTCGACCCGTCTTTCTTCAATTAAAATATAACATGGTTGTCTCAATACTGTTGTCTATCTGTCTGTTAATATTCTCAGATCGTTACTAAATAGTTTAAAACTTTTAAGGTATAATTTTAAAGATTTTTCTACAAATTTTTAACTCTTCTTACTTGCTTAAGAAATTGTCACGGCCTTGTAGTGGAGTATATTTATATATCACATTGATACACATAATAACAAAAACAAATGTCTTCACTTCTTCAGATCATAAAATCAAATGGGGAAAAACTCACATCAAGATCGCGTTGATTCGGTGAAAACGTATGTTAATACGTGTTTTGTTATTGGCGATGATAATTGTTGTTGTTGTTTAATTTGTTTGTTGTTTGTACCTATAATTGGAGTAGCAATCTTGTTTTCGTTTCTTTTTTTTAACTTATGATGGTGTTTACTCTGTTGGTGCAACTAAGTAAATAAATAAATAAATGATATTATTTATTGAGACGTGAGTACATTTTACATTAGCAATATGAATTATTTCTCATCCTTTTTTATCGAATTAGGTAACCGTAACAAGCAAAGGCTCTGAACTTCACTTTACGCCTAGGTTGAGGGCAACGATAAGTTGGTAGTAACTTAAACGTATAAGTTAAATTTTGATATATTTATGACTTTATCTTAAACAGGTACACGCGATAAAAGCTTTAGTGTTTTAAATATTTAATTGAAGGGAGTATTAAAAATATAGATAATACTACAAAAATACTTGACTAAAAAGCGGTAGGGAGGGGTCGTGTGTACGATTTTTTTAATTTTCGTACATTCGCCGGCTCGCCAGCAATAATGCGGAAATGAAAAGCGTTTGTATGTCGGACTCGCGCACGAATGGTTCCGTATCATTATATATGAAAATGGCAAAAAAATCATATCTTTCATATGGGAGCCCCACTTAAATATATTTTATTCTGTTTTTTAGTATTTGTTGTTAAAGCGGCAACAGCAATATATCATCTGTAAAAATTACAACCGTCTAACTATCACGGTGCATGAGATACAGCCAGGTGACAGAAGGACAGACAGACAGCTGAGTATTAGTAATAGGCTCCCGTTTTACCCTTTGGGTACGGAACCCTAAAAAGGCACAAAGTCTGTTCGTGGAGCGCTGGGCCGTACGGTACGCAGTCGTATTGGATTTGTATGGGAGCGATATGAATCGGTTGGTCGCGTGACGTCCGTCGGCTCCCAAACTAAATGTGCAATCGGCATTCGACTTCTGCACGCGAAGAGTGTTTTATTTATATGTCAATTCGTAACCGTTAAGTCAGGAACCAGTAGATTCTAAATTATATTGGCGGCAGAAGTTCGTCGGAAATGTAAAATGAGTTTTACTATAGTTCTATTTCTATTCTATTTAAATGAAACACGAGTTTCCTATTGTTTTATGTGTAAATTTGTCAAGCGAGCAGGCGGTTCATATAATGTTAAATGAACGGCATTTACATCACCCGATGACTAGCAGCTGTGTTGAGAAGCTTTAATAAAGTGGTCCCCGGTTACCTCACGCCGGTCTTCTGTGAGGCCGCTGTACCTACTGTTGAGGAAAAACTGTCATTCGCATAAAATATGACTTCAATATTTAATCGACGGCTTCGAGTTTAGACAGTAAATTTGTTTTTATATGGTTACTGGCAACTTTTAGTATACACGAAAATCCATTGTCGATATACTTAGTATCGGTTACGACGATATCCCTAAAAAAG